AATAGATGTGTAAAATGGACGACAAAATCAATGACAATTTTACCCTCCGAACAATTTTTATCACAAACTACAAATACTTAAACGATACGAATAAACGTAAATACCAATAAAAGGGAATAATGAAGAATGATATTAAAACAAATAAATAAAATAAGCTGGTAACATTTGTTTTAGAATTTTAGATAAAAACTTAACTTAATTCGATAAAGTATATAATTTTTTGACAGAAATACCGTAATAATGCTAAACAGAATATATAGGGATACTGTTTTGGAAAATAGATTGTAGGTAGTGCACGAACACTACATTACAGAACTAAACTAGGGAGAGCACGAAAATTACCGGTGTACAACAAAACTTTTACGACTTATCAAATGACACGCTGGAAAGTTTATAGTTAAAAGTAATAGAATGTAGTTTTATTTACTTTTGAGCGTCAACAACTGGGTTATTCCAGCTCGTACACTGTCAGATCAAAACAACTATCTAACATTAAACGATGCATCTCCAGCAAAAAGTTCAAAAGCTTTAATGTTTAAGACTTTTCGTTGAAGTTTCTGGCGGGTAATGCAGTGTCGGTGAAGTTTTTAAAATCCTATATTTCTGTCTTCGGTTTGCCTTTGTTGTCTGAAACACTGGCTATGTAACTGATACATTTCTGAACTCTTCCTGTCGTCGTAGTGTTTTCATCGGCTTTTCGACTACATCTGTAAACAAGTCATCCAACTGATCCATTTTCCTTGACATTTTTGTTATTCTTCACTCTGCTAGTCTTCTTTCACTTCAGGAACTATTTTCTTTACATTCTATTTATTTTCTATTCTCTTCTTTTCTTTTATAATATCTATCTTTTTTCCAAACATATTCTCCCTACCTTCTGTATCCATCCATTGTTCATTACTACGTTATTCAAAAACTTGCTCTTGGTTATTGAAGCCTCATGAGCTCTTCTCTACTCCAGGTGTCCCAGTATCTCACAGCACCTACCATAGACTCACTACCATTAACAGACTCATTGTTCAACATTGTCTTATATCATCATTATTACCAGAGCTGTTTTTATTGTTATGGGTACATAGATAACACCTCCTTTACCCTTGAACTACCTTGTCAGGAAATTTTTAGATCACCTGTCACTTTGCCATCCCAGCTTATTTCACCTTTAGATTAACCACTGTTTCATAAAGACAATTCATACTTTACATACACCTTGTTGTGCCGCTTCAACATCAATCGTACCACTGCCACACGAGAGTTTCAAGCTATCTGCTCAATTTTACGAGGTTCACATTTTTCACAAGGGGTTGACGCTTCCCAGGTCTCTTGAGGACGCTGACTCGCTGGCTTTAAAGTTTTCGAAGCTTGTTTATCCTCTTCAAAAACAAGAAGATTTAAGAAAATTATTTTGGGGACTTGAAATTGCAAACGATAAAGATCTCTTCTTTTATCTCATTAATTGTTTGCGTTTTATTGTAACCGAGTACAAGCAATACCGTTTTCCCCATCACATTTGGTGCATAACACAGGATATAAATTGGTTGCCTGTCTGAAAAAAGAGACAAAATAATAATGAAAAAGAGATTCAATTTCAATAGCCACGGCAAGGGCATTATGTATTGTGCCAATGGTTAATAAATTCAGGTTTTTAGCCACACATCCAAAGCTCGTACATTTAAACGGTGTACTGTAGTGTACATAACCCCCATACGTGGCATGCTGTTACCTGAAGACGAAAGCCTTATCTCTTTGTCTTTACAGGACTGTTGATTAATAAAAAAAATTGTTTGTTGAGGAGGGCCAGCCAGCCATTAGGAAACTATTGTGTGGTTGTCTGTCTGTCGGGGGTGAACGTCATATTTGGCTCCAATAACTTAAGTATTTCCCCGCTTGAGATCAGGATGCACAGTGATTAAGTGAGGATTTTCTAAGTTTCTGATAAATCCTTTACGTTCCCTTGGCCACAACATTAATGATCCTCGAAACTTTAGGGAAATTTTTAATTAACCCAGGAACAGCTGGACCAGATCAAAACATTTACTAAAGCGACAAGTTCTTCAATATCCTCTACCAAGTGCACTAAGACATATTCCTAAGCCAATAAAAAGCTCCCAAGGCTTTTTTTTTACTTTTTTTGCAAATGCATTGTATAGTACATGACAGAAAATGTAGGTCACTTGTACCGTGTCAGTTTAAAAGTACTGTACATTTTTTTTCCACTAAAGACCTAATTTATTAATCGTAAAGCCTTATTGGGTCAAGTCACGTTTTCAACTCGCCTCAATCAAACTAAGCTGCATAAGGGTGACGAGTCCTCTGCCAGCCTAGTCACTAAGGACATTTTCATTTGCGTGATACATATGCCATCAATTAATTCGTAATGTCCTCAACCGAATTAATATTGTAATATTTTATGCGTAATTATATCTGAGTAATACAAACCGAGCCACCAAAGAATCTTGCTAAGTAAAAACTGCGGTAAGACATATATGTATTTACCTCCAAGAAATTAAAGCAAATATTGAAGAAAATTTCAGAATAGCAATAAAAAATGAATTATATAGAAAAGCTCTACAGTAATTCACAAACGCAATATATAGTCAGATTAATATTTATAAATGTACTCCACCTCAACAATGTATTCAGTGGATTTTTTCTTCGTTTTCTAATGAGGTATTTTCATTCGCTACTGCACGCATCTCGTTTCTTTTTTTCTTTTTTTCAATGCGACATTTTTGTTCGCTATTTAGACTTCCATGTTCACTGCTTATTGATCACTTTAAGTACATGTTAACTTCGAAGAAAGCAGTGGTAACTCAGGGAGGGTGCGTGTGTATGTGTGGGACAGCTTGTTTATGTGTGGGATAGCGTGTTTATGTGTGGGGCTGCTTGTTTATGTATGGGATAGCGTGTTTATGTGTGGGGCAGCTTGTTTATGTATGGGATAGCGTGTTTATGTGTGGGGCTGCTTGTTTATATGTGGGTATGTTTGTGTTTGTATGGGGGTGTTTGTGTATGTGTGGGAGTGTTTGTGTATGTGTGGGAGTGTTTGTGTATGTGTGGGGACCTACGGTTGATCTGCTGTCAATTCACAAGACGACGCCTCTACGAGTTGGTGGAAAGAAAAAAATTTTGATGTCGACCGTACATGAAAATAACAATTCAGAAGTGAGCACGATACGATAGAAAGTAAGTTAAACAAAAAAGTGGACTAATAGGGGGTGTGTGAAGTACTGTGTTGGGTGGGTGTAGAGCTGACTGGGGCTAAAACACACCCCGCCTGTAGTAACACCAGTAGCCTGACACTCGGCCTAGCTAGTATAAAGTACGGTCCCCTGAGCTGCTTCACAATATTTATCATTCCATTACATATATTTTATAAGAACATCTTCCCCCCGGTATCTTTAATTTCGGCATGGAAGTAATTATACCTGACTACAATTCTTGACTGTAGTTCTAACCTTTGATAAATAACTAGAGTCTGATAATTATAATCAGTCAGTATCGCGATAATTTTTACTGACAAAGGAAACAACTGCCAAGCTCTCGTCACTACTGTTGTAATGTCGCGCAATACATAAAGATGATGGTCCACAAGGCAATACTGGCTGTCCAGACCAACAGTGTACCAACACACCGCATCACAGGTAGTTAAAGAGAGCACGCACATCAATGACCGTTTATATACTTTATATCATAACCGTTAAAATACATGACATAACCGATCATACAGCATATACGTGTTTGAACCGCTAATATACACTATACGGCATATATCATAACCAATAATATACATTTCATACACGTTATAATCGCTAACATACATAAACTGTATCATTATGTCATCAAGAATCTCAAGATGTCATACGAAAACAAATGCTAAACAACTGGCCACGGATACACTTAAAGTTGTTGACTGTGGAGAGGTGAACAGGAGTGATATTGTTAGCTAAGGTCAGTCTCGCACACATCATCCCCCATGACCAATACAGAAGGTCAGTCTTAAAGGCAAGCATCGAGCCTCGAGAGGTGATGCAATACAAAACACTATTTACCTCCTTAACATTTAGTTCACTGACTAACAGGACAAAGAACTGAGGAACGCACTGAAGGAGTCACGCAGCAAATCATACCAAGATAATTATTAAGCACAAGATAGGTAAACAATGTTGGTATACAAAGGCCACAAGACTGCCCAACATATGTCAAAATATGGAAACAAAGATACATAGAAATAATAAGACAGGGAGGTCAGATATGTCACCTATAGTTACCAGTCATCATTAGGAAGGACAGACTACAAGGCGTGCTATATGAGAACCTTATACCAGCTATCAGTGACGAACTAAACGTTATGGGAGTCACATAATCTATTCGGTACAATCTGATGACTGGTCGTAGTTTTGCACTCATAGAAAACTCTGGCTGCATGTGGGTATTGCACAAGTGACTCACTCGACATGACTGTAATACACAACTGACTCACTATACAGGTGAGCCAAGATCAATGAAAGATGTAACAGACCTGCACAGAAGTACACAGACACTCATTATGGAACACCTCTATCCTGAAGACGATTAAACAGACAGATTAATCATCACAAGCTGAGGGCGATTCACACAATATAAGACAACCCGACAGAAGGACAGCATTCTGAGTATGATTGTGGCAGCACTAGAGGCTTATATGAACACAGATCACACTGGTGGACTCTACGTTTATCTGCTGTCATCATTTAAGATGGATTAGATCTTCAAGAAAAGGGAAAATACTGTAGAATTTAATATAAACAAGTAACAGACATACGGTCCCTCAAGAAACTATAAATTTACACTTACCTGGAAATAAATATAAACTCAGGATGATTACCTGTCGTCCATCACACTTACATTATTATTACCTTCAAGAACAACCACAGTCACATCAATCTTTTAGTAATACAAACTATATGAGTGAGCAAATTAGTCCAATATAGTATAATAATAACAGTAATAGTGCTCACCTTGACCTTATGGTAGAGGACGCCCTGACGACACGCATTCTGTACCACGTGGACCAGTCTTCTGTACCACATGAACCGGTCTTCTGTACGACGTGGACCAGTCTTGTGGACCAGTGGACCCCCTGCCTGAAACAACATACATGTAATGGATTCACACTAAAGTCTTCTCAACCCTCGAATATATTAAATCCTAATAGACTTTCAACCAAAATTTCATCAAAAGCAACACAGAACAGAAGGTCAAAGTTTTCATCTCTTACTAAGGATCCAAACAGCTCTTAGACCAAACTGTAATCCACTGGGCAAAACACACCAATAAAATTGACTAAAAACAGATCATGACCATAGAGATGAATCACCTAACCTTTAACTGTTGATGACTAGTGATATTATTACACTAATATTTGCACTCACAGACCTGAGCTGCTGAAGTACAGTAATGCATTATAACAAGACCTCAACCAAAATAAAAATATACATGTCCATTGTTCATAAAGTTCGTTGTTGTTTCAAAACTTTTAATCGTAATACTGGAAAGTGAAACTGATAGAACGATTCAGTTATATTTTGACGAAATATGTGTTTAAAATGTTTAGTGTGTGATTATTATAAGACAGAAAATACAATAAACGGAAGGAAGAATGATACAAAGATAAGAGGATTAGAACAAGAAATGATAATATTAGAACTGAACTGTTCACAAGAATACCAACAATTTAAATCTTGACTAATACAGTAATCATGAACAGTAAAAGAAACGAACAATGGCTCCTCCCGCCTCTCTACCACCTCCCACCTCTCAAAATTGTTCAGCCAACTTGTGACAAAAGTAGTGTTTTTAAGTGGGTAAACTTTCTAGCTTGCTGCAGGAGCTTCCCAAGTTGTGTCATTATGATTTATTTCAACGAGGCTAGAGGCTATCTAAACCTGGAGTTTGTAGTGGTAAGAACCACCATCACGCTCCTCGGTCTTCTTTACATTATGGTTTGTAAATTGTCTTAATGTTGTGAGTTACGACCTGTGAGTGATGGGAATTGTTTACTTGAATTTACCTTTTGAGTTGGGACTGTCCGACCATAAATGACATTTAAAGTTGACTATAAAATTAGAAGAAGCGGAAGCCTTAAATATAAAGGGTAGGACCTAACTTAACCTAACCTAAGCTAATCTGACTTAAACCTAACCTTTAACCTAACCTAACCTAACCTAAGCTAACCTAACCTAACCTGCTTGAAACAATTATTTTGTTAATTGACTATAAAATTTCAGTAATTTCGCGAAATACCTGATTACACGGTTTGACTGTACCATATACTGTATACGGATTGGGTCAACTAACAACTAAAGTTATAAATTACAGTATTCTTGTTTCATTTACCAATTAAGATTTTATTTTTAAGTTGAGAGAATCAATCGGACTAGCTACAGGTTACAGTTATTCTGCAACACTGAAAACTATTTATCTATACATATATCTCATTCATGCTATATATTAATAACCCGTCGTTTACAAGAGTGAGGACATGTTTATAAACTGTACTGTAGATGTGTAAGGCGTAAATCATATTCATGGTGCATATTCATTTCATTATAAAGCTCATGTAATAAATATGTTGGTGTTAATAATATCTGTATGGTAAATGACAACAAAATTATACACATTAAATTGGTAACTTCCTGTCATCCAGTCGCAAATTGAAAGCCTCATAAATTTCGTTTGCAAAATGTATAAACCAGGCGAGTTTATAATTAAAATGTTACATAAAATTCGAGTTAATTTTTGTTTAACACGGAATCTGTAAGACGTGAAAAAAATGTTCAGTGCCACAGGTTTTGATATCTTGTTATTGTTATGTTATGGTTTTCTCAAAACTGTATATTACAGTTTTGATGAAGAGATGTTGATTTAATTCAAGTGTCATTAAGCACATTATTCGGCGTCAAAATCATAGAAGTGAAATGTTTATAAAATAAAATTTAACATTAAACAAATGTTATGCTCAACTGTTACCCCCAGGGTGTACTGTATGAGTCACGACCCAAATAATAAAGTCTTGCTTGTAACAACGTGTAATGTAGAATGATTGTGAAACTCCCTTTGTGTTTATTGTGCACTTAATAGTATGTGACGTAAATAGTGTAAAGTGCCATGATGAGCGCCTGCAGCCTCCCATCACTTAACGTCCTCCTCCTACAGGAAGACGTATTAGGCTGGTAGTGGTGGTACCTCACTGTGGCCACAACCTGCCACAGGGAAGACACACACCTCCCTCCGCCCTCACGATGAATGGCCACTTCTCTGCTGCATCCACCGTGCTGACTACCGCTTAGTTTATACCCCACAGCTGCTGGGGTAGTGGCCACACCACATAACTAACTAACTATGTGACTAATCATTACGTCATTTTACAGTATTGGGGTGTAATATAAAATGGTTTTATTTATTAATGTTCAGCAATCTTATTGGTAAGATATTTGTACAGCTTAAAGTTAAAAGCAGATCAAACAGTGTAGACACAAACTGAAACCAGTAAAGTCAACTAAGCACCAAAAATAATAGATATAATTCCACAACCGTAATTACAAAATACAACCAACTACAGAATACAACCCAACAAGGTGATGTGAGGGTTAAACGCGTAATGGTTAACGCACAAATCAAATCTTCAAACACCCCTTACATGTTGACGACCTCAAGTCAACAAGTCAAGCCAACCAGCTGATGCTACGAGCGACAGTTACTAGTTACTCTCAGAGGTCACCTGAAAACTCTAACGTTAATCGAGTCTACACTTTCTACTCATGTCTCACAATAGTCCGACATACTTGAACAAATTATACATTTAATATAAAATATTTTGAGCCAATTACATTCACACAAATAAAAAGACATTCTTGTGCACATATTCCGATTTTTTAAGCTCGATTTATATGCCATAATGTTCGGACAGTTTTAACTCAAAAGGTAAATTCAAGTAAACAATTCCCATCACTCACAGGTCGTAACTCACAACATTAAGACAATTTACAAACCATAGTGTAAAGAAGACCGAGGAGCGTGATGGTGGTTCTTACCACTACAAACTCCAGGTTTAGATAGCCTCTAGCCTCGTTGAAGTAAATCATAATGACACAACTTGGGGAGCTCCTGCAGCAAGCTAGAAAGTTTACCCACTTAAAAACACTACTTTTGTCACAAGTTGGCTGAACAATTTTGAGAGGTGGGAGGTGGTAGAGAGGCGGGAGGAGCCATTGTTCGTTTCTTTTACTGTTCATGATTACTGTATTAGTCAAGATTTAAATTGTTGGTATTCTTGTACACACAATTTGGTTTTATCTGTATTTTAAATCCTACCATCATTTTATTGAATATACGTCGCGTATACTTATCAGACATTGTCAAGTATTTATATCTATAGGTTGATTTAAATTTGTGATAATAACTAGAAATAATAACTAATTATAACGAAAACTCACGAAAGAAAGTTGATATACGCTAGAGCCACCGAGTCCTGAGTATAGAAAGCGATGATCGTACTGCCCAAGACTAGGTACTGTACGTATATGAGATGATGAGTGATTCAGGTTAAGAAGCTGTTGTTGAAGCACAATAATACACTAAAACATCAGCGACTCAGGAATATTGAGGTCCAGCCTACAGCACCCGGAGTTAGATGTTTGGCAAATAATATAAGAGACTATGTTCCTCGGTATGTGGTACCATCGTGTGTGGTAGATTGTTGGTTTATAACATTAGATAGTGGATAACCAGCACGGAACGTCAACCCATATGTTTAGAGATACTGTGGTGAAGCAAGCATGAGGTACTCTACGCATATCGAGTTACAGTGTGAAGGAGCGGGTTCCATTTTATGCAAGAATCAACCAGTTGTAGTATTGTTCTTGTTAATTATTTTAAATGAGAAATAGGAAGTGATCCTTCGTCGAAACTTTCCATAAACACTGGCTCATAATAATTATATTAACGGAGTCTGTCCACATGTTAAAAATTTCTAAGAAAAATAAATTGTATTATGTTAACAGTCATTTAAAAGAGTACAGCATATTTTAAGAAGAAATCGTAAAGTATAAAGTTATTGCTATCTATGGGTTTTGGCAAAAAAAAAATGGAATTTACGAAAAAGGAATTTGTTCCCCTATGCCACGCGGGTATTTGCTTAACGTCCACAGCGGCTGGTTTGTTTTCATTCAGTGAAGCTGTGAACGGCTCTAGCGAATGAAAACAACCATCACTGATCACTCTGGTTTGTTCGTGCTAAAATTAGACATAGTTCAGTAATGCTTCTATTTTTTTAATAATACGTAGGCAGTGGCTTAAAAAAACCCAAGATAGTTGGTGGCTCCATGGTGAGGCTCCAGCTTGCCTCACTGACCGCACGTCTCGTTCACCCGTATCCTTAAAGAAAGTGCTTTACTTCCCTCATCATAGAGGCAAGTAAATATATGCCACCTTTTCGGTAAACTTAAACAACTTTAAGTACAGGAAAAGCGTAACTAGGCAGGAGTGTCAACTGATCGACTGTTCGTACCTCAGCTGGAGCGGAAGAAAGCTGCGTATAGCTCAGTGTACTATCACTAACCTTTACCTGCTAACACCGAGTCTCACAAGGCTACATAATTATTGTTTATCAGGACAACGTGTAGATCTAGGCTTTGTAATTATGCTTGCCCATATCAGAACCTTGAAAGTGTGTACAAATGTAATATATTGTACATTAATCTCTTCACCAAAAATCAAACATGTATTTCAAATGTGAAATGATATATGCAATGTTTTATAGTATCTAATTTAGTAGAATGGAATATAAGAAAGATTGCATATAGGCCTCATAGTAGTATTATATATGTTATCTATGGAATTTCATGATGTTAGGTACCTGAGTGCATGCTTTATCCATATGTTTAATGCATGTTGCTGGATGTGCATTATTTATATAATTTTGCTTCATATTACAGCATTTTATGTTCACTTTATGTCATGTAATTATGTGAGTGCGTGTTCTACCATGTTTATGTGCATGAAATCATGGCATGTGCATTTTGGTACAGTTTGGTGAATGTCATTAATATTTTCTTTTCATGCATTTGTGTATTACATAATTTTTTATTGCATATCATAAAATTTTATTATATTAATGTGCATGTATATTTCTTTGTGTGTGTGTGTGTGTGTGTGTGTGTGTGTGTGTGTGTGTGAAAGGAAAATTGCAGTGGTAGATAACATTTGCTCTGTCTGTAATTTGATGTATTATAATGACAATATAAATGCGTTAAACATATCTATATGTTCTGTTCCAACAATTTTAATAATGAACAAAAATGTTATATTACAGTAAACAAGAAGAAGTTGATGAATATTTAAATAACTTATCAGTAACAATTCCACTGTTTTTTAAATTTTTAAATGGACTGTGTTTTAACCTCTAGTAGACTCACCGCATCAGGGCAGCCATTGTGGGTTGATCCTCACACCGGTCACGGGCAACTCCTCACCTTCCTCTCCTGACCTTGTTACTGCGCATCATGAACAACGCACACTGGTTCATGTGGGACTAGCTTTTAAGCACGTCCGAGTTAGATTGGTGAAAATTAAAGTAAAATTGTGATGGTGAAGAGTGCTGCAGGTGTTCCCTCTTGATGGCGGTCAGCTCAGTCAGAGGAAAACACACCTAAAGGCTTTTTGGATCACCTGAAAATTAGATACCCCAGTTTATTTCACCTGAAGAATAACCATCCTAATGTTACCTGGGTGTTGGTTAGTAAGAGTAGGTTAGTTTAGTATTAATGTAGTTTGTTAATCCTCAGGTGAAATATGCTAGGGTGTTTAATCTTGAAATGATCATATTTCGTCTGCTGAGACTACTCCCAAATCCACCACTCATGTTTATCGTACGTGGGCATTGGTTCTGTTATTTGTTATTATAATAGATAAAATAATATAATTATTATTTTAGATTCGGTTTAGAGTGTTAGGTTTAGTTAGTTAATTATTCCTGGCTTATTTTATTATCGCTAAGTCGTCGACGATCCCTCCCGGCAACACCTGGCAACATCATAGGATAAAGTACCAGACACTTCTATATTCTATAATTTATAATTCATAAACTAAAAAGAACTAAACTTAACTAATCAAACCTAATATTATTTCATCTAATATAACATAATTTAAAATACTACTTAAGCAAAACACGACACAGATAAAATTAACAATTAGGTCCGCCGTACCTACACCTACAGGCGGGAAATGTGACGACCGCCGAGACGAGAGGAGACAATATGGCGTCGGGTGTTGGCTGTGGAAATGTATATCGTCCATTTTCGGCGGTTTTATAAGGTAAGAAATCATTTATATTCTATGATAGTTAAGCCGCGCAATTGTGTTCATCATTATTACCTTATTTTCTATAGGGTAAGACAATTGACAACTAAAATAAGTATATACAGCATAAATGTTGAACTGGAAGTCCACGTATAGTGAGTCTGCTTCAGTAGAAACTAAAGCTACCCAAACTAAGGTCTTATTAGGTTATATTATTAAAGCTTTAGTTATGAAAGTATTCGTAATCGTCTAACCTCGTTAAAAATCACGGTATTCAGCATTTAGTAAAATCGCCTAACTTGAAATAATTCTCGATGGCGTCACACGCCTGTCCACACACGCCTTATTGGATATGGACTTTACATAAACAAACAATAGTCGAACCGTAAATATTTACATGTTACCATAGTACAGGTATATGTCACAGTGGTGTATTTAAATTCCCGAGTTGGACTTCTTTTTTTTTTTTAATATAAGGGTGACTAAGGTTTATGGCTTAGGAAAAAGAATTATAGTGTATTTTTTTGTCTTGCTCTACCTGTTGTTCCCCTTAATGTCTATAACTCGCCGAGAGGTGATGTATGGAGCCCTCTTTGTGGGTTACCTCTGGGAGTCGACCCAAGTTTAAATTCCATCTTCCATCTCAGTCTCTTCCTTCCCCCGGCCCTATAGCCTCTATATTATTCCTGGCTATATATTTCACTGTCCCCTTATCCTTTACTTTTCGTCGTTTTTAAATTTACATTATTTCTGGTATTGCTCAAGCCAATTTTAAAACTATCTCTAATGTAACACTTTTGTAGCACCAATATCGATAGCCTCGTGGTGTCTGTTGGAAATGTCCACGCATTTTGACCTCTATAGTACTGTAGTTTATGTTCTCGTTTAACATATGAATAGTAAATACTACTTTATTTTACCTATTCTCCCTATTTAAGTGTTACATCTACCATCACAATAATCTGTTATCGGTGTCCCACAAATGCGAAAAAAAAACTCCATATGGATAAATTCCCCACATTTTGTAATGACTCAGGTATCTGAAATTTGACTGCATCTACATATCATATATTTGCTTTAATTATTAACAAATTAATTAAATTCTGAGTAGATAATATAACAGTGCTGGAGAGAGAACACTACCATATCCAACATCACATTTAGTCTAAAACTGTAAGCTTGTTAATTACTGTGTAGCTTCCTGAGACAACCAAGTGTTCATGTTTTGTTTGTTTACGGCCTTAAACACACTATTTTTATATGTGCGACTGTTACAGATCTCTCACCAAATAAATGCAATAGTGACTATGAATTACACCAGGGTGCGGGTATTCATTCTGCAGTCATTTTATTTGCTATGCTGAAATGTGTGTATTCAAGCAGCACACATGTCCCTTGAATTAGCTATTGTAAAAGATTTCAAGTTTCGTATATTACTGAATTATTCTCCATCATTGAATTTATTCTTCAGGAAAACTATTCATGTAAATATAAAAGTGAATGTATTTCATGTTTACAGGTAAATTGTGCAACACAGCGCCGTTCTGCTCAATCGGGGAAATTACAAGAGATAGTCCCAGGACGTGCCATGGAGGTGAGAGAGACTGCCAAGGACAAACTTCACATTGGCCACAGGTTAATTTTCAAGTTATTGTAGCGTCACTTTGGCTTGATGTAATGTTAGTAGCCATACAAAAATTGTGACCAAGTCCCAGGTTGCTCAGCTGACTTTCTGCCTCATTTACACGCAATTGCAGGGTCTCAATTGTTTCTCTTACTTTGACAACACAACATACATATACTGTTAGAAAATTTAGTATTTTTTAAAAGTTTCATTCTGTATTTTCGACCATTTAAAATTGCATGTTAATGCTTTTTATCTCTATATGTAATTACTGAATATGCGGCTGGCGGTTATTTGCGGTTCACGTTCGTCATATATCCGTGTTTGTTTACATTATTTCAAAGAGGCGGTCAATGTTTTCCCTCTTAAGTATATTCTAAGGAGATATGCCTTAGCATATTTAGCTAGATTAATGGTAAATTCTTGCAATGGATATCGAGTATACATGTCGTCTCCGTAAATATGTTTCAAAATCAGTAAGGAGATATGTTACCCATTGCCAGTTCCATACAAATGAATATAACAAAAGATTCGCGCTCGTGGCGGGCACTGGTAAACACAGCTGTGAGTGCTAGCTCCCAAATTTGGGATGTTTTCGAGCCTTTTACATTATCTGAAGGATATATACTTACCTACTTGTGTATAAGGACCTGAGGATAAGATAGTATCGTCAAGCAACTTTGGTGTTGGGAACTTACTGTTTACCACACGAAAATAACTGCTCGGGGTCCCATCACTCCTGGCTGGGTGTTGTGGGATGTCAACATTGCCCCATGGAAAGTGAATTATCGCTTAAGAACTCCACAGGGAAGAGTAAAGAAAAGATAGTATTGGACGAAGTTCTTGAAGACCTTGAGTTGAGTAGTGATGAGTCTAATATGAGTGATGAAGCACAAGGGAAGTTTGAAAGTGAGAAAATACAGCTACAACAAGAGGTAGTGAAAAAGAAAGAAATTTCTAAAAGGATGAGGGAGACAAGCTGGCAAGAGGACAGTGAAAGCGGAGAAGTGAGAGAGGAGAAGAGACAAAAAAATCTAGGACAAAAAACGTGTGTGGGTGGTAATAATAATGGAAATAACAGAAAGGAGATAGTGGAGAATGGATCAAGAACAGAGCAAAGTATGGAATTTGAAGGAAGCAGACAAGAACACACACAAGGTAATGTTGGTCGTGTCAGGAAGAGATTAATTTTTCCACAGTCATGCCCGATGACCTTCCTTGAAAAATTAAAATGGGCAGTACAACTAGGACGGGAGCATCGCAGCTTTGAGCCTCTTTTGAAAGAAGGCACACACAAGCCTTATCTTACAGTGGGGACCATGGAGGCTGTGGAAATGTTGACAACTGTTGGGTACAAGGGATTACTGATGGTTTTGCCAGAGGAGAGCGACATACTACTTACAAAGGTTATAATCTTCAGGTACCCTGTAATACTAGATCCAGAATACTTATTGGATGACGAAAGATTTGTTTGGGTCAAGAGGCATTTAATAAGGGGCGAAGAGAGAAGCCAGGTTATTGCTCTAATGAGAGGAAAGGTTCCAGAGAAAGTGTTCATCACAGGAGCAGGGTATAGGAAGGTGGCACTATATGTGGAGGGACCAATAATGTGTCTCAAGTGTTGCAGATGGGGACATAAGGCCTGGAGCTGTCAACTGGACCCACGTTGTAGATTCTGTGGGAAGAGGCACGAATCTAGCAACTGTAAGGACAAGATCAATGCAGGAGAGAAAGTGAAGCCTTGTTGTTGTAATTGTGGTAAAACTCACAATGCTAGTTCAATTGCATGCGAGATGAGGCCACGTATGAGAAGTGACCAACAAAGGAATTATTCAGAGAACACTGAAGAAGTACGCTGTGGTTTGACAGTGACAAGACAGCAGGAGAACACACAGACAGTGGAGACAGTGATCCCTGAGAATGCCTGGCATGAAGATTCAAGAAGGATAAGGACTGCGCTTGCGGCCGGAAGAGTTGTTGATGCCAGGAACAAACAGAGTAATAAACAAGTAGCAAGTGAGAGTAGTGGTGCAGCCCTCCAGGTTAGTGATAAAACTGTGCAAGAAATTCTGGGAGAAGAGGTGCTTAAGATGTTTCAGCTTTTGCAAAAGTTAGGTCAGAAAATAGAAGTGATAGAGAAAAGACTTGATACAGTGATAAATAAAGAAAGGGAAAACAAAGCTGTGAATAATGTAGAATTAGAAGGGAAAGGGGAAAGTGAAGAGATCAAGCTTTTGAAAAATTCAGTGCTTAAAATAAGTATTAAAGGGAAGGAGAGGAAAATAAAGGATTATGTGTTGCAGGGAGCAACAACTAAAAGTTTTAAAAATGTGTTGGTAAAGTGTAAAGATGCTGATAAAGAAAAACTTTTGAGGAGGATTGGGCCTTCTTAAAGAATCTGATTGGAAAGGATATAAAATGTGTAAATATTAATCGTGGATCTAGCTAGCCTTAAGATAATGTCCTGGAATGTTAATGGTCTACGAAATAGAGTGACAGATGTACATTACTTTACCCTTAAAAATAATATTGACATAATTACCCTTCAAGAGACTGGGGACAGGAAAGGCGACCTGCTTAAACTGTCTGGATATAAGGGATTTCATCTCTATTCGGGTGAAGGTATAAGAGGGGTCTCAACATACATTAAGAATTCCATACCAGCAGAACTAGTTGGAAGCCC